CATTCTGACACATTTGCTCATTTAATGGATTAGTTTTCTGCAAAAAGTTACTGTAAATACCGTCGTTGATTTTTGAGCACGACGCAATTTGGAAATAAGCTCAAAATATGGTCGAGTGTTGGGATAATGATTGAGAGTATTGATTGTTCAGTCAACGTGGACTCATTTCCTGAGAAAAAATTATCTTGTATGCCGAGTGGATCTGCAGGAAAAGATTTCACTGGGCCTTAATCCCTGAAAATATGAAAGCCTGGAGCATGGATGTGTATCAATCCTAGCCCGATGCACTATCAAGGTTCAAGAATCCTAAAAAGATCAAAGACCTCAAATAATTGTAAAAAAAAAGAAGAAGAAAAAAGAAAAACAAGCAGTGAACTCCAACACAATGTGTTGATAAGGCGCGTCATTAACTCGCACATATCAACCCCTTTAGTTTTCATTTACAGAGATTTCAAAATAGGCAAACAGCATAAAAAGAGAATTCACGATCCAACACTGCGAGGTCAAAGACGCACCTTGACGAGACCGTGTATTGTGAAAGTAGAAAGCTATTCGATCGAATTTAAGTTTTTTGATCTGCCTCAAGCAAAATCTTATCAGATTCTTGAAGAAAAGTGCTACGGAATAATTTAAGCGAAGAAAGGAAAAATTCTGTCGAACTCCTAGAAGATAAAGTCGATTTAAAGGTATTTTGGGGCTAAAATACCCAAATCACCGGTAGTAAAAATCCCGTTATATTATTGAAAAGAAATTGACTCGATATAAATGCAATTGCATTAAATACGTCTTGATTTTGTTATTTTAAACGTCTTTCCATGCAAAGAAGTTCAACCATGTCGTTGCTTTATTCATTCATGAATTGAAAGTAAGCAATCTACATCCCGAAAATCTACTGATTTGCCGTAAAAAATTGCAGAAACTTGATATACCAGGTCGATGCACCCACTCGTTGAATTTACCAACCAATTTTGTGAGTGCAAATGTGTAAGAATCAATATGCTATAGTCATTTTGGGTGCATTTATTTTTCATGAAACAATAATAATTTCAATCCCGAAAAACCATCAATTTTCCGTATAAAATCGAAAAAATCAAAAAAATCAAAATATGTCAACTCCCCGACGTGAAAATTAGATTCTACGTATGTAAAATGTAAATACTTATGTATCGATATGCTGAACAGAACTATGTGTGGACAGTCAGAAGCCCGCGGCAACATTAATTCAACAGAAAAACTGTAAAAATTAGATAGGATTTTAGCCGCTTTGCCCGCCTCTCCTCGCTACTTACAACAAACCGTTCTTATACTCATCTCAAAATTTTTCTCAGAGCTTTGGGTTATTATCAGCTTCCATTTAAACTCCGGTTCGATGGACGAATCGGCTGCCAAAAAAGCAAGCCACTGTTGAGGGGTTCTATGAGAAATTCGTGATATTATCGGCTCTCAGGAAATCACCCCATGGCTAAAATTGGTGGTATAAATGTTTAAGTGCTTAAAATAATCGTATTCAAGAAACGAAGGAATTAAACTATGGAGTCAATTTCTTTTTAATAATATAACGAATTTACTACCGGTGATTTAGCTATTATAGCCCCAGAATACTTTTAAAGCGCCTTTGCGTTCCAGAATCTCGACGGAATTTTTTTTTTTTTTTTTTTGCTTAAACGATTCAAGAAACATTGTAGTTAAAAATATAAAGATTTTTCGATTTGGACGTATGAAAAATGTTTAACTCGTTCAGGCACACCGTGTATTGTATGGAGTACTGCTGTTATTCGACCGTTGTCTTCAGGTCAAAATTCTTACAAGGAAGCCCCTTGCAAGAGGCAAATTTTTTGTAATTTCTCCCAGTTTTTTCAGCGTTAGGTATATAAATGAATTGTTTGTCAAATTTTGAGGTCAATTATATTTAATTGTAATTTATACTTTCTTTTTTTCCCCTTCATTTTATTTTTCGTATCGAGGAGTCGAGGTTTTGTTGATTTCTTCGGATTTCGATTACTGTAACTTCTCTTCTATTCGGCCGATTTTTATGAATGAGGTCTCTTTTTATTTGTGTTTTAACGGAGAGTAAGGAAAAAATTGCTAAATACATGCGAAACAATTTTTTTTGAAAATTGGATGAATCCTAGCGTGACGGTGAAATGGTTAATGAAGCGTGAGTAATTGGGGTACGGGTATCGGCCGCGTTGGGACCCAAGGCCCATTGTTCTTCGTGACGCCGACGCAGTGATCAGGAGCGTGGGGACGAGAGGGCTTAGTGGACTCCTGTATGAGCCACGTTTAGCAAATGGTCTAATGAGTCTCGAGGCTCATCACAGATTGCACTTACCACTATCCTGGTGGCCCCGGCTATCAGAGCAAGGAGTACCAACTTTTGAAAAGGATAACAGTGTTGTGGAGATATGTCAAAGCAACGTTGTGAACAAAACGGAGTGAGTGAAATTCTCATTCAAGGAGTGCCGAACTGGTCAGCCATCCTCGAATCAGTTCGCTTGCTTCCGCTTATATATGCATATTTTAAATCAGCGCGCCCCATTCTAAGGTTTTTTTAAAAAAAACCAAGAAACGTAGACTCTTGGTATTCATTACACATAAACTAGCGAGCCCCAGAATGAGAAACAAATTTTAATCATTATTATTGACGGATTAGTAAACTTTTTACACGCTTTGGAAAATCTCAGAAGTTCGCGGTAGTCACTTTTCGGTAAGGAACTAGGGGACTCGGTTATTGTATCGAGGGGGGGGTCGAAACGATCGCAAAGGCGGTATACTACGTATACGCGCCAAAAAAGGTAGAGAGAAGGATCGTTTGCAGCCAACACAAGAACTCAGAGAGGGAAAATAGCGAAACATGTATCTCATCGCGATGTTTCAAAACGTCCGCTGTTGTTTTGCCGACTGCTGAGTACTAAGAGGCTCTGTGGTCTGATTATTGAAATTAATAGACAAATCTTTCGACAAAAAAGAAGATGGGAAAATGGAGCAATTCTATTGGTTAAAACGAGTGCGGTTCTCATAGACAAAGGTGGTAAATGATGGACTGGCCATAAGGTCTCTCGTGGGTTGCCGGTATTTAGTCTATATACTTCCCTTTATCCATTGCAACCACCAGCCTCCACCAATTACATCACTACTTTTTCTTTTTATATTTTTTGTCAATAGCTTTGACCATCAATTCCAGTAATCTGCCCGCTAGATCCTAAATTTCCGAGAATAATAAGACCCCCGAAATATTTATTTTTGGCGGTTTTTGAGCATTCCCTAATTCTCTCTCATATTTCAAACATTCACATTTACCATTTTTCGCATTTCTACTCTCTGAACCTTTCCCTCTGTTGAAATTTCGAACTTGGATTCTTGCGTAAATTGATGAAACGTCCCTCTCTTAAGCACGCGATTCCTTTAAAAAAAATAGTGGCTTGTAAATCGTTTTTTAAAGTATAAATGTACATCGGAGAAATCGGCGTTTCGATTTGCGTGATTTTGCATCCGTCACTCCGACAAAGTTTCGCACCCACCCCGCCTCGAATGCGTGATGTATTTCATGGGCGGTCACGTCGCACAGTGAATCGCGTCAATTAGCGAGGTCGGACATTAAATTTTTAACTTAAACTGCAAATTTTGATGTTTAATTTGTCAAATTTTTAACTTTAAGGGGTGCCTCGTACAGAAAATTTTACGAGGGTACCAATGGAACCACTTTTAAAATATGAAAGTTTTATATAAGCGGAGTTATAAGCTTCAAAAGTTTCCAAATTTTGTCCGACCTCTTCCATTGACTTGATCCACTGTGCGCCGGTACAGCCAGGGCCATCCAGTAATGAGCTCCAATAGTATTGACGTGCACCGATACTATTGTAATCGATGCTCATAACTTATTCCGAGTAATTGCGATCGCATGTTGCACCGTGGTGCGACCCTCATAAATGTCCCCTTGTATTTATCCGCGGTATCACAAATCGGGCTCTATGGCGTTAACGACCTACCAGATAAGGTACTGAATTGAGCACCTCAATGTATGATTTCTCATCAAAAGTTTACGTAAAATACGAAGGACGCATTCAACTTTCCAAATTCGACCCGTAAATTGCAAAATAACGGTTTGCGTCTACATTTATTCGCTTTTCCCATTCGCTGACCCGAGTCTACTCGAGTCAAATCGAGCCCAAAGATCATTTAAGTATATCTCAAGATGCAATAATTTTCAATTTTCTTGGTCAAGATTAAAGGTTATCTTATATAAATCTAATAATAATCTTAAAATATACGAGGGGTATTCGTGAAGTAAATTAATATTTGTCTGGGTTGGTAATCCAATTAATCGGAATACTACCACTATTAATGGAAATGCTCAAGTTGGAATTAACCCCTGCCTCTTTTTCCGTGTAGTAATGGCATTACTTTGCAAATTCTCGATATGTTTAGCGTGTTTTGCCTAAGATTTTGCACAGAAGACAACTGCAGGAACGCATATCTCGGTTTGCGGTGATGTAAACCTCCCCGCCAAACTCTACTTTGTGAACAGTAAAGTACTCAACGCCATTTCCTGAAAACGAGAAAGAAACACTAAGAAGTGGCATGGACTGTACGTAACAAGGTAGAGAAATGGTGCTGGGTCCACACCATTTCGCAGAGAAAACAAAGCCAAGAAGTTCCAAAAATTAGAGTCAAAAATAAATTTTTAACTACCTGAGCTGAACACTCTCCCCCTCAGTTTTTTACTGGTACTCGTTAGAGTTAAAAAAATCTATTTTTGACTCTAATTATAATTTTTGGAACTTTTTGGCTTTCTTTTCCCCGCGAAATGGTAAGGACCCAGCATAAAATATCTACCTTATTATTTCCTGAAAACCTTTCTGATTGTTCATCTAAGTGCAAGGAATAATTTCATAGCGAGGTCAAGCTATGGCGTTGGTTGGTTCTCCTGTGATAACAAAACTCATTCAGCGACATGGAATGATATGTATCATTATAAGGTGCTTGTGTTATTGTTGCAGTCGTTTGGCGAACCTGGCTGTGACAGAGACTTACGACAACACTGCACACTTCGACATCACGTACGGATGTTTCGTTTGGATAGCCTTCCTGCCAACAGTTCTCATACCTGCAATTTACGCAGCTTGGATCTTGTCCACGTAAGTATTTGTCCTCCTGCCCACTTATCACTAGCTCATGGATGGGACCGATATTATCGCGGGGTGGGGTATAGAGTTGTTACGAGTGAGTAGGGTTTTCCACCGCTGATAACACTGGATCACCACCCTCATCCACCTATATTACTTAACTTAAACGCAGCCTCTAAAACTTAGAAGTTTCATCGCTTCATGAGTTGCATAGCTGCCTTGAAACCTACGGATCCAATTTCGCGCACTCATGATTTGAATGCATGCTCGAATATTCTGAGACCTACACTCCGGGCGCGAAGTTTCAGTTTATGAGACTTCTAAGTTTAATATGGCACATATTCGTCAGTTCTAAGTATATGAGATCTACGTCTCTCATACGACAAGTATAAGGAAAGGAGAGTTTACATATCGTCACATCCTGGCCAAAGTATCATAAGTGCGCCACGGGACGTTTCAAAATTTACGCCGCCATTTTAGTCTTTACAGAGAGATTGTTTGTTGAATCTGTTTGAAAATTTCACGGAATTTGATGAGCAGCACGAAATAAATTCAGTGAAATTTTCGGACAGCTTCGTTGAACGATTTCTCTGTAAAATAATGAAATGGGTGGACATTTTGCAACGTCACATGGCACTGGTGATACTTTGTCCGGGAGGCGACGATATAACATTAGAGCCGCTCTCTGGCATTTTGCGACACCTAACTTTCACAGTTATAGTCTTTCTGGAAGTTGACACTCCCTCATTTCTTGTAGAAATCCCTTAATTAACAAATTTCCATCACATCCAAAATCACGTCTAGAACTCTGTAGAACTTTGTCGCCATCTTTTTTGTTTACATTGGGCCAAACTAGGAGCAGGAGGCTGGGGTTTATTTACATTGGTCTAACATTGGGGCTACATGATAGCCGACCAATCAGAGAGCGGCACACTTTTTCTGTAGTTGGCAATTCAGATGCCAATACTCTTTCGTATACAGGCACTCTAGTGACCACTACTTCATGAGCAGAAAAAGATAATTCAGTCTCGAGTCGGATTCAGTGGCGTGGCGTGAATTGCGATGTATCGATTGATATGCTATTTAAACCTATGGTAAAGAATCAATTATTAAGGTGTTCGCTACAAACACCCTATTTATCGATCCTTTTCCATAGTTTTAAATGGTAAGGGATTTTCGATTTGACTGTTGATTCTTATGTTAAAGTTCGCGAGAAACACGATGGTGCCACTGGTTTTCTCTGAAATCAACTGCCAAGCTCAAAAAAAGCTCTCAAGTTGAGGCCAAAATGGAGGGGATATCCCACCCTACCCTAAGAGTCCACCTCTACATCGAGACAATCTCTCCATGCAAAGATAGGGAGCAAATACATTGACGGGGCTGCCACTTTATTTGGGGACTCCAAAACTGAAAACACGGCAACCTTGCTCATGTATTTGCCCCCAATCTTTGCATGGAGAGTTTGTCTCGATGTAGAGGTGGACTCCTAGGGTAGGGTAGGATATCCCCTCCATTTTGGCCTCAACTTGAGAGCTTTTTTTGAGCTTGGCAGTTGATTTCAGAGAAAACCAGTGGCACCATCGTGTTTCTCGCGAACTTTTACATAAAAATCAACAGTCAAATCGCAAATCCCTCACACATACAACATCTCTATTCACTTCACGCCACTGCTCGGATTATTTCATCACGATGAAAATTTTGAGTTATTACGTTTAAGCTTTACCTCCTGCTTTACAACAATCGCTTTGAGGTATTTCAGTTTTTCCTTCGGCGTGGCAACCGGATGGTTCTTGCGAGTTTGAATTGGTCTCATGAAACATGCATGATCCTCGCATCAAATCCACATCTAGCTTTATCCGTCTTTTGTGCTTTGATATCGTTGTGATACTGGAGAACGCCCTCGGCCGAATCGGTTGTTAGGTCGGACGCGAACTTTATTTTTATTCATGTTTTCATTTATGTTTTCATTTGTTTAGTAGCCGTTTTCGGCAATTTATTCCGTTCTGCGGGTAAATAAATTGAAGGACTTTGAAACAACGACGAAAGGCAACAGATCAGAGCTTTATCGCTTCCTCCAGAGTACTTTCCTCGAGACTTTTTTTTTGTATAGTATAAAGAGCTACTACTTATTTTGGGCTGTGAGCAAGCGGGTCGGACTCTTTACAAAGGCCTTACGCTTGCGCGGATATCCAAGTGAATGGCTGAATTCTGGAAACACGTAACCTTATTACAGCGTTTCAAGATCGCCGTTCGTATTTTATTTTGATATCAAAAAGCCGGCTGAGAACGGTAAAAAGGAACCATAGTTGCACGCTCAGTGTAATTTTTTTTTTCTTTTTTTTTCTTTTTTTTATAGCAATTTTATTAGTTTCTATACATATTGGATCTTAGCCAAACAGTGGCTATGCCCGAAACGAGAAGAAGGTGCATTTTTAACATATAAATATGTTCATGTGAAAGATTCACAAGGTACGAATATTAATTTCTTATATTCTAATTAATACATTTTAACTAAATTCGTAATCTGTTTCTATAATTTTAGTACTATTTAATGATAATTTACTTAAAATTAAATGTTGAAACTCTTATTGCTGTCCCCGATACCATCCTTTCGGACACTGCTCCGGGGGGTTCAGGGTACATTATAAACTTTCTTTTCACTAGAGTCCCTTTATACTCAGAGTCAAGACAACACCCCCTCATGGAGTCACAAACGGGAATAAAGATTACAAAAATTGAACGTTTTTTGTAATCTTTGATCGGCCCATTCTCGAATTCCTCTCTCCGTTCCCTCTCTCATTCCGTTTGCTCCTTACCGAACCCGTAATTCCCTGGTCCATTCTAGATTATAATCTTTGCAATCGGTAAAAATGTAATCTCTATTCCCGTGTGTGACACTGTGAAGGCCTAAAATACGGGAACCAATCGGGAATGGATTCACATTGTCTTGACTCTCAGTGTAAAGGGACTCTACTTTTCAAGATCTGCTCCTTGAATATCTAAGTATGCAGTGGAATGTTCTCCCCCTGCTGCTGTGTAACTCACAGAACGGACTAATTCGATTATATTTCGCAATAAGGAACCACTATTTGTGACTCATTTTAGAAACAACAGATATGCCATAGGTTACCGTATGCAGAAAGGTGCTTTCACAGAGGAGCCAGAGATAGTGGTTCCCTATTCCAAAATGTAATCCAATTTGCGTGTATTACAGGGAGACGAAGACGCGGTTCAAGAACTATTTCCGGTTCAGCTACCGGAAGCAGCGGAGTCAAACATCGGCGGAGGAGTCGCAGGTCTGCGAAATGACGGAAACTACAGAGGAGAGGCGAAATAGTTTCCTCTCAGATTTCAACTCTTTCAACAGCGGCCACCGTAACTCTGAGGCCATCATGAGGAACAGGGATCTATAAGATTACCCTTCATGTTGAGGACATTTGAGAATATCGGCAAAATATCTAAATTTTAAAAAACTCGGAGAAGTCAAATTAAGTAAATTGCGGTGATGATATTTTTTTTTCTTATGAGCAGTAAACTACCCGGCCAAAAAATTATATTTTGGTTCGAACGGGAAAATTTGAGAATTTTATATAGGTATTTATTTGACTAAAGACATATACACGTGGATTAAACATTGTATTCAAATTACGCAAGACATGATGGACTAATTGAAAATTTCAAAATTCATCTGTTTGAAATTAGCATTTTATTTTCTCAGTGATTCAAATGTCCTGCTTGTGCAATACTGACGTAGACTTTTCAAATCGGGTAAAACATTGACCTTGCCGTCTTTTACGATGAAAATTATTTCCTTCTTTCTAGGGTTTTTTTGAAAAAAGTTAAAGAATATTGTGCTGAAAGCGAAAGGAAACCTAAGTGGAACCGAAGTAGTCTAGTCATTTTCCGAACTTTCTAATTTGTTTGATGCTGATTTATTTTAAGTCTAATTTAGTTTTATCGAGAGGAGTTTTGAAACTGCTGATTTCCATTTATTCTATTAACGCTGGCGTTTCACTTGTAAGTTGATTTTGGAAATTCTCAATAAATCCAACGTGTTTCAAGCCAAAATTTCATAGGGCATACAGCATGTCTTGCGGTTATTTAATGCTTATACTGTTTAGTTATCCAGTGTATAAGATTGTAAAGTTTTTATATTAAAAATTACATTTAATTTTTAGTGTGTTTTCAAAAGATAAAACCATGGATCCTAATTTGTGGTTTCGTCTATATGATTTCTCCTCGTCAACCTCCATCATCGAGCCAATCTGATTTCATTTGAAATCACGCTGGAATCTCTTTTGAACTATAGTGCGATGTCGTTAGGATTCCCGGCTTTTCCTACATGTCGATTGTCGATACACCCTGATTTTGCAGTAGTTCCTCAGATGCTTTAGAATTATTTTGTTACCATGAATTTTTGTACATAAATCTACTCCATATTTTCTATTTGTTTGTATTTTTCTATTCACTATTTGAAATGTGGATCAAAGTCAAACTATCTGTGTTATGAACCAAATTTAGTAACGCTTTTGTTATATTTTGAACTGTAAATATTACGAAATTGAGCTCGCATTATTTTTATTAGGCTCGGATAATAGGCCTGCCCCTTTTTCTCTCCTCCAGTCTACCGCCCAGTGATCAAAATATACCTAATCATGCGGATTGATTTGCCGATTAAACCTATGGAAAAGGATCGATAAACAGGGTGTTCGCAACGAATACCTCAATAATCGATTCTTTACCACAGCTTCAAATGGGAAAATATCGATAATCGATCACTCGTGTTTCGCTTTAGAGGCACTTAGGTTCGTCTTCCTCTTGTCGCGTGTTAGGAAGTCCCCTCCAGAGAGTCTGTATTTATTTTGCGCACCAGAAAAATTCGCGGCGACAGCTTCATAGAAAAATATCTTTAGAATTAAATCCTCTTTAGCGTGATTTTAAAACGTAATAATTTCGCGTTTTTGTCAGAGGTCGAAGAAATGGGTAAAAATTAGAGATTAACCTAATAAAACATCTTTGTTTTCAACCAGTCGTGAACAAAATACGATAAGCTGGCATACTAATTTTTTGACCTGCGTGTACAGTTTTTTCCCCGATACTGCTTCTTCTGTCGTGCTTTCAAGCAAAGCGGAAATAATTGTACTACAAATAAAAATGTATTTTAAACTTCGACGCGTTTTGAGAAAACCTTAATTTTAAACCGTATTTTTTTCATAACTGAGAAACTGAAAAACGGTAGTTATGATCCACATTAGGATTTTAAATGTCGTGAGGTAAAATGCTCTAGGTAAATCAAGTACCATCACGTACAAATATGTGCTGAAACCTCTGTTCCTGAGTGGTGTAAACTAGTAAGTTTTACGCAAGTTTTACATTAGAATACTCATGTCGTTCAACATTTGAGTTTTCAAAAAGGACACTTGCACGTGCAAGAAATTATTTCAATTGTGTGTTCAACATTTCGGACATCAATGACTAGAAGCAGTGTAATATCCAATCAAGGCTAACTTTTTAACAGTGGAAGTAGGTAATAAATATTTTTCTTCGAAAAATGTAGATTGGTAATCTCCAAATATTCTCATAATTTGCTCCTTTATTGTCTACAATTTAGAATATTAAGATTAGTTTTCTCATAACGCGTAGTATCCTTAAAATCCGTTCCTTTATTGCCTACATAAGTAAATTCAAAAGAGAAAGAGAAAATATATGGGTGGAAATTGGCATGTGTTTTGTGTAGTCGTGTATGATGATGTTGATTGGGATTTTTGACTTGAATTTAAACTGTGATATTAATATTACTTTGAATGTAAGTACGCTTTGTGTTGAATCTCCCGTATTTTTCAGTAAGAGTTACGAAACCGCAGAAAATGCACCAGATTAATGCTTGACTAAAATAGATAATATGTTATAAAAAAAATCAGGGACTGCAAAAATTCCACTGTAATAGATATCTTCCAAGATTATTTACGAAAAATTTGAAGGCTTTTTCAGGATACTTTGTAAGATTTTTTTTAATAATAAATAATTTTCTTTCAGAATACCTGTGTAAGAAATGTAACATAATACGGCGGGAATAATCCCCATGTTATTTTCACTATGAAAAAGTGACCCATTACTTAGTAATGCAGAAAAACATAGGTCAGTTGTATGAAATAAAAGTATTTAGGATATTCTAACATCAAATATGTATCACCGAATCCATCTTGTTGCAAATCTCATTATTAGAGGAAGGTAGAATAATACTTTTGGCAGTTCTTATTCTGGCCGGTCTGAACGTAAAATATCAATCCGTACCACAAAATATGCACTTCACTAAAATTTAAAAATTACTTTTAACAAAATTATTCGTCTTCATACCTCTGAGTCTCTCTAGTTAGAGCTGAAACTGAAATGCTTAAACTTTACGAATGAAATCATCCAAAAGCTGGTTCTAATTTAGCCGACTTCTTATTTGTTATCTGTCTATTGAATAGTTTAAATGTTTATTTACATGAGAAATTGTCTGTTATTTCAATTTTGTAAATAAAAATACGCTCAGTAAATGTCAAAATATTTTTTTGCTTATACACAGTTGTTGTTATTTATATTACTTCTACTTTACGTCATTTTAATGATGTCGTAACTGTACCCAAATTGGTAACGCATCTATTTTTAATAAGCCTTGCGCCCATTAATATGGTCATATTCTAGAGCTTACCAGGTATTAGCCATTTTCCGTTTTCACATAAACCTATTTAACTAAGATGAAGCGAAAATCCTCGTAAGCCTTTTCATAAGTAATTCCAGTGAAAAGCTTCCTTTGAGAGACAAAAAAGTAGGTTTTTAAAATAGCATTACAAACTGTGCTGTTTCAAAGGTATTTAAACTAAATTCTAAATTATTAAACTGAATTTCTCTTAAAAGAAATTAAAACCGGAATACACATGCTCAGCTCTCAATATTGCAGGGAATATCTTCACTTCAACGGGGAGATGATCCTTGGAAACCGTGATATATCCTTAGAAGCTCATCATAAAAAGATAATTAATTTATATTCCATAACGTGGCTTTTACGTTTCAAGTTATGCTAAAGTAGGAAATATTGAAAGGATAAGATTTACTTTGAAAAACTTATACTTAGCTAAGAACTCTTTCTCACAGGGCGTAAAAAGCCCATTTTTCAACCCGATTATTCTAAGAATCTGCAAACTCAAAGCGATTGAGGCTCTATATCAGTTGATACGGAGGAGAATTGCAAATGAGCTCCTGGAAACACGTAAAACCACTACGTCGATGGCCAAAGTATGAGACCACGTATTTCCGTTCGTGACGTTACAGTCTCTCTGTCATGTCATTTTTTCTTTGAAAAACTAGTCAACGTATTTTCCTGAAAACTTTCTTGATTTGTCTTCTCTGTTATAGCAGAATAGTTTGTATGAAAGTGAAGCTAACTCTCTTGGATTTCTTTTTCTCAGACTTCATCCCTCAAAAAAAAAAAAAAAAAAAAAAAATAGAAGCGAAAATTTCAAATCCAAGCAGTGGAAATACGTGTTTTCGCACTCCAGCTTTCGATACTTAAATTGCTGCACCGTGATAATCGACCCTTAAAGTTTACAAATAAAATCATTAGTTTTCCGAGAAATTTGTGTATTCCTCGAGATCACTTGGCAACGTGTGAATGTAGTTCTACGCATACAGAGTGACATTGCATTACACATCTCACGCGAATTGGTTATTTAAGAAGCATCAATAGCAAATGAGAATCTGCTTGTTACCGATATTGTTCATTCATGGGTTTTTATCGTGAAGCTGCGGAAAATAAAAACGCCTTCAATTGATTGAATAGGCACGATGAGCGCATAGGAGGTCGAATAGTGGTCTCACGCCCTACACTGCCGTGCTAAGGAAGGACGCCGTATGAACATTCGAGAGTTGCCGAATTTCCCGTGTTAAAACATGTATTTTTGACGACATTCATGCATATGTTTCGTTAAAATTTTCAGAAATTTTAGATTACATTGCGTACAAAAGTGCCTGAAAATTTTGGAAAAAAATATTCACAATTTTCCTATGAGATTCGGTTTTTATCGAAGGAAACTTGGCAACGTCTGAAGGCTCATACGGCGTTCTTCCGTGGCACGGCAGTACAGCACATATCTTAAGCTTTTGTATTATAAACCGTATATTATTCAGTAAGATCCTTCCAAATGACTTTAAGCTCCAGGATCCTCTGTGATAAAAGCTGTCAATTCATCCGAGACACTCAAGCCATAACCCAGTGGCGTAGCGTGCTTTGCGATATATCAATTGTTATTCCATTTAAACCTATTGAAAAGGATCGATAAATAGGGTGTTCGCAGAGAAGACCTTAATAATCGATTCTTTACCATAGGTTTAAATGGCAGACCAATCGATACATCGCAATTCACGCCACGCCACTAGGCCAACCGCAGTTGCACACTCAATCGACTCGAGAACGGTTTCAGCCGTAAAGAACCTGTTCGGATGCTGTTTAGCACATGGTAAGTGGGCAGAGTATGTTATCCCTCCGGTTTATCCTTGGACGACCTGCCAACGCGAATTCACGGGGATTCTGATATAACGAGCGCCAATCGGATTATGCGCTTTGAGCCTCCGTCTTTTGAGCTTTAAGCCCACACAAGTTAGGACGATGCGTTTAGAAGCTGTGCTGCCAAGTGAACTTTGCAACAAAAAAAAACAATCGAAGGATATCCCTTTTAAAGACAGCCCCTGCATATCGACGGTGAAACTACCAAACCACGTAGGTAACTCGGTTTGCGACGTCGCAGACTTCCTGCCATACTTTATTTTTTAAATGAATAACTACTGAACGTCCAGTCTTGAAAATTTCTGTGATTTTTTCTCTTCGTGCGGAGAAAATTCTGTGGAAATTTTAAGGAATGATATTGATTTGGTCTACTTTAAAAAAGTAAAAAAATGTGAGCGTAGATTTTTAAACACCGCAACCGAGATACGTGGTTTGGTAGTTTCACCGTCGATATCTGGTCGCATATGCTGCAGTTGAAATTTCAAAAATTATGCTACAAAGATTTTCATGGCCAATTTTCTATACGTATAATAGGTGAATTAAAAAAAAATTAAATAAAAAAAAAGGAAAAAAAAAGAAAAAATTAGTGAAAGATCAGGGTCTTTGCTGCACAGATAATAGAGAATAAACAAATAACATAGAATGGGGGAAAATAATCCAAGCTTCAAGCTTTTGCTTTTGTTTTTTATTTTTGTTGCTTTGTTCACTCTTCATTTTCGGGAAGTGCAGTTTATCTCTTTTTTAAATTTCTAGGATCAAAGTTTACTTCCTTTATAGTTCAAAACTTCAGTAACCTTATTACTTTTTTATAGTGAAAAGCTATATTTTAAAGAGTTTAAAATAAATTTGGTTCTGTTCGTTATTCAACTACTAATTTATTTCTATAGTACTCTTTATTTTAATACTATTCTTTACACTTATAAACTCAATTTTGAAGGACTCCATCGTCGAAATGTGAGACACCTAGCGACGCTTGAACTCCCGAACTACGTATCTCATTTCTGGTGTTTCAAAATCTCTGCTCCCATGTAATTTCTTAATAGGAGAAAAACTGATTATTGCTTAAAATTTTCAAAGGATATTTTTCCCATAGAGAAGGAAATTCACGGAAGGATCCAAGAGTTGACGTTGAGTTGTTTTTTATGCAATTTATAAGGTATGACAGGAAATCTGCAAGGTCGCAAACCGAGATACGTGGTTTAGAAGTGTCACCGTCGATAGGGTCTTACTAAGGTAAGGGATCATTTGGACGTATTTATAAAAGGAACTATGTCCCACGCAATCCCTATGCACATAGGTCCTTTTCGCACAAATACGTCCATTTACGGGGAATCGAAGGATCCTAAGGGTAAATACCAGACAACGTTCCTGACCTCGGACAATATTGCAGCGTGGCCTCAAATTTGGCACTGCCCGCCGTGCCTTGCCTTTTAAAACGTTACGTCTCATGGTTTTAACGTAATGGCCCGCAAAGTCATTTTGCTGGCCCGGCCCCATACAGCATTATTGGGAATGGATCAAACAATAAGTTATTGTTACTGTGAGAAATTATGGTGATTTCGTTATTCAAGATAAAATCCCGACTTTGCTTTTTCACGGGTGAGATAACCTCAGAAAGGAGCGAATCAAAATATTGTTGAGCTAAGAGGCATGTAAATTCAAGGTTAAAAAGTACTGTTTTTCTCTTTCTTCTTGTTCGTTGTATTCGGTAAAAATAATTTGAATTTATAGCGCTCAACCGTCGATCTATTAGGTTCTATCAGAAAAATTGAGTATACCGATTCGTTGAATGTACACGCTTCTTGGGAAAAACGATCTCAAACATCTGGTTATGTGTCTAAAAGGGTAGCCCATAATTATAATTGAACATATTCATCCTAAAAGGAATTAAGTACATAAGGTTTGCGTTTAACATAGTTCCTTTTAGCAGGTTTTTAAAGGAATTATTAAAGGAAATAATGCTTGTTTAAAGAGGAAAAGATACTTATATGTAAAGAAAAGTCACTTACATCAATCGGAAATCCACTTTCATTCAGCAATTTTATTCTTGGTTCAAAATAAAATCTTCGTGACGGCATACTCAATAATGTTTCTGCCTAAATCAAGTCCCTTTTTTCCCTAATGCAATTCAAAAAGTATGCTAGAAGTTATTGTATTCGGATGGTAGGACTTGGTGAGTATTTGGACAACCGCGCTCTTTTTTTGTCGTAGTATATTGATTTATTTTGCGAGGAGAGCTCTGTACTCTTAAAGTATGGCTGTCATATTTAGTATGTTGGAGCGCCTTTAATTTCGTATAATACTATGCAATACCCCTGTTGCGAAATAGTTGCTTGAAGCGCCGCGACTTGGCGAGGCAGGCGAGGGCGACCAGCGCGACACGCATATTGGCGCCTACAAACCTAACAGGGATACTTCACGCATTGCGCAATGCGTGAAGTATCCCTGTTAGGTTTGTAGGCGCCAATGCGCGTATCGCGCTGGCAGCACGCCGCGCGCCGCACTGCTGTTTCGCTCTAATATTTTAAATCGCGGAGTCAGCGTTTTTCAACTTATGATTTTGAAATGTTTGCACTCTCTGCATGGAATTTTCTTATTTCATCTGATGAGAAAAATAGGCATTTATGATATGTATTATAATAAATTACGGCTCACTGAGATTGATATCGATGCGATCGCTTGGAAAAGGTTTTACAAATATTTGCCACGTTTTAAAAATGTAAATTTGTTTAAAATGAAGTAATATTTGCATTTAAAAAAAGAGGAAAAAAGTATATTTAAGGTATATTTTTAATCGAAAATTCTAAGGATAGAAATAAATTCAAGTGTTCACCAATGACAATTTGAAAAAAAATGAATCAAAAAAAGAAAGTAGCATTTTATTAAAAAAAAAAAAAAAAAAAAAAAAAAAAAAAAAAAAAAAAAAATTAACCATAACAACACCTCCTTCCCTCTCAATTTTCTCATTTTAATATAATTTTACAGAAGGAATAAAATAACAAGCTTGGACCAAGTC